AACGGGCAAGTCATCAGCATGGTATATCCAACCCAGACATGCGTGTTCATATCTCCATCGACAGGGATGGTTGTCTTTTGCGCAGGGATGTAGCGTGTTATACTGCTAATTCAGCTACCTAGCAGCTCCATGTTACTCAACTGGATATTGGTATGCTAAAATGATTGTAATCGTTAGTCTGTTCTCACTCTTCCCCTGTCGCCCTTCACGTCCTCTGCAGGGTCATAACATCGACACTAAAGAAGGTTGCACTCGAGACCAGCTTGGATACCTAACCTGTGTGATGGATAAGCTACGATACCAGACAGATTGGAGGTGCTTCAGGCTCAGGATGTTATCGTTGAGATATCGGAGCAAAGTGTCCCAGCGACAGCATCGGCTAACGGTCCAGTCCCCGAAAGGCGTCTGGACCTCTGGTCGACGATCTGCCGCCTTTAGCAGGCGTGGCGCCACGAGGCAGATCGATCGATTGGCAGTGGCTAGACCCAGCAGACCCTCATTATCTGATGGAGCGGCTCCGGAAACTGTTGCTGCCGTTCCTTAGTTGTGGGAGGTGACGGACGCGGTCCGAAAGGAGCACTTACCGATGTAGCGAATCCTCATCCAATGGAACATGACCCATGCACATGCGATCTGGCCAGTCACATCCAGGCGATTCTCCGCCAGGACCAACGATCATCTTGTCTGCTGCAGGATTGTCTCATCTTCATCCTCATCTCTCCCGCTGTGGTACCTTTTGGCCCGGGGCTTGTCATATGACAGGCACCCAAGCTAATGATATAGAAGATATATTGAGACGATCATGTTTAGTGTTGCAAGTACGATGTTTCAGAGCTCAATCCATTCCTGCTACTAATGCCTCGTAGGTCCACACTGCGGCACTGACTTACAATTCCTTAATATCCGCTTATTCAGCGTGGTATCCAGAATACCTTTCCAGACTGCTTAGATATAACTCCAGTCGCATTTCAAGTTCGGTTTGTTTGATATCCCGGGTGCGAAAATCGGAGAGGACATGTGATTGAGATAATTTCACGCTGACTGCATGCTCGCCAAGGAAATCCTCCCTTCCTCTCTTCATCCTCTCCTCCGGGCGTAGACCAGACCGCGGAAGTTCATTTCTGCAATTTGCACAGGCTCTTGAGCAGATCGACAGCAAGCCATCACCGGGTGGGTCTAGTTTCGGACGGCTGGGGGAAGGAAGGACCGTCGTGAAGCCGAAATTTGGGTTAGGGCGTCCGCGGGGGCTTAGGCCTCGTATTTTGATCCAACCACGCGCCATCATATTCTTATGTGAGAGATTACGCTGCATTTGTCATCTACATCCAGCAGAAAGAGGAAGTCCTTCAGAAACCCAATGTAACATTCCTGCAAAATCTATCCATAGTACTTTAGTCAGCTTGATACCATTTCCAGCACTCAGTCCACCATCAGGTGGGTGGTGTCGTGCTAAGCATTGGTGGGTGATGGAGGGAACTGGCAGCGCGGCTGGTGGGCCTGGCAATCCTGTCAGTCCCATCCCCTCCCTCCTTTTCATCCTATACGGTGAGCCCTGCAATCTTCAGCAGAAGCGACTCACTAGGCTGGTCAAACTAACAGACACTAATTCACTAGTGTAGTTTGCTGAATAACCCGCATCGCGTCTCTCCCGCTAGCAGAAAAGCGACCCCGATAGCTCACTCGCAGCATCGCTCCTGATACCATTTCGGAGACGGAGTTCGCTGCCCTCGGAAATAAGATGACTCTCTCGCTGCTCGCTATCACGCAGAAGCTCTGCAATCTTGCTGCGTAATCAATTACCTCGGAGCAGTCATACCTGGCAGACAAGAGAAACCAGAGAGCTCGCGAAAACACCAGTGGCCCACAGACCAGCACGCCCGATGCCGATCACCGATAAGTCTCCGTTGACTGCAAAGAAAGTTAAATAAGGTAGTCTTGTAAAACACTGCCGATCATGAACCGCGGGCTGTCAAGCACCATCCCGGGTGAAACAAGGGCGTCTAAGTAACTCTGACGCGCGACTACCACCTCCTGCGTCGATCCGCAAGGCCATCTAGCTGTGAAGAACGGTAAAGCAACGGACCGAAGTCTAATTTCGATGATCTCGGCTAGGACCGATATACACAGCGCGACTTTCTCAAATGGAGTCAGCCGGTGACGTGCCACGCATCACAAACGGTCGCTTTAGAGTGAGACTAGTGCGCCCTCCAGCCGGATGAGGGAGTGATTTCCAGGCTCGGAGCTTCAGTTCCAGATGTGGATTGTGTGATAATATGCACGCAAGGTAATGCGAGGTACTGCATCCGGATTGTCCTAATATGATGACCAAAAACCTCGCTGACGAGTGACTTACAGCCTATGCATATTGCCGTGCTCCTATAGGGGCAGGGATGCCATCTATCACGGAGCACGCCGCTATCAAAATACCCCCATGCTACTCGCCTGCGGGAAAAGCAGCAGCAATTCCCTGGGACATCCGCCCTTGCGATTGAGGCTGAGATTGGTTATCGTCGACATGTGTCCGTTGTTCGGTAGCAGCGAACCATCTGGCATGAAGTAATCGCCCGGATTTAATTGTCGAATGAAGCAAACATAACTATTTGTCTCACTCTTTATGCCACAATCTACCGCACCACGAGCTGGGCTTACCCTTGTTGGATAGTGGGAAACTTTCAGACACTCGCAACTATCTTATTGGGCCTTATTGGACCATTGTATTGGCTACCTGGTGACCATATCTCACAGACGCCATCCTACCCACATTCCAGGCGATCTCGAGGGAAATCCATGTCTCAGTCATTTCATGTCTTCATCAGCGACTGTCGGAAACATTCCGAGGCTTGGCCTAGGTGGCCTGTAGGCTTGCGTGCGTGCTAGCGCTAGCTTCAGTGACGCTGTTGACCGTTTTACGCTAAGATTGCCTCATTGGTGATAGAGAAACTGTTCTAAACCTACGCCATCTCACGGTTCAAGTGTCCGGTGTAGATCTGGCCGGGTCTCCAGATACGTGCCGTACTCGCTGACACATCGTTAGCCTCAGACTGGGATACTCGCTGGCAAAATGGATCACTTACACATGGCTTCCTTCCAGTGGGCCATGAATCCCTGCGTGCGGGACAACAGTGACAACGGCAGAATAAACTCAGTCGGGAAGCCCCTAAACCCATTGTGTTAGCGGGTCTTCTGTCTGAAACAAGTCCTTCACGGAATCTACCTACATAGCACTGTACACCAGCGCCGCAAAGAGATCGGCGTTGGGCCGCAGCTTTCGGGTGACAAAATACTCATCCTCCGAGGCGACACGGTCCACCTCGAACGCCACCTTCAGCAGCGGGTTACGGGCGATCTCCTCCTTCAGTTCGTCCAGAATCTGGCGGATGAAGATGAAGCGCGGATCCGTCACGCGGTAGATGCGGTGACCGTAACCATACAGGCGCTCCTTTCCGGCCTTGACACGCTCTATCTTTGCCGCAACGTTCTCAACCGAGCCAATCTCCTCAAAGTTCTTGTAAGCCACTTCAATGGCTCCACCATGCAGCGGACCATAGAGGGCCGAAAGTGCGGAGATCATACAGGAAAATACATCTGGCAGAGAGGAAGCCGTCTGCAGGAACGCGGCAGTCGAGCAGGTCATCTCGTGATCGGCGATGAGGACCCAGAGACGCTCAATGCGGTCGACGTATTGCGGGTTGGGCAGTCCAGTGCTGGACTCAACGTGGCCCATCATCAAGAGGAAGTTCTCGATGTAGGAGAGTTCCGGGCGAGGCTGGGTGAATTCCCGTCCGGTGTGATGGCAGTAGACAGCAGCGGTGATCATAGACAGCGAGCCCATCAGACGGACGATCTCATCGTCGACGGCCTGGGGGTTACCCAAGTAAAGATTCTTGGCCGCGTGAGCGGGGATGCGGTCCATCTGGGAGCTCTGGACGGCGGAGAGCGCGGCAATCATCATGCCGATGATGGACGAGTTGGGACTAAAGCTGTTAGACTCTGGTGGGACAATTAGAGCATATGACTTGTGTGAAGCTTACGGGAATGCCTGAATCACCTTAAAGACGGATTCATCCAGAATAGGCACGCTGGAAAGCTTCTCCTGAAGCGACTTGGCCTGTTCTGGCGTCGGCCATTCGCCCCAGATGAGTAGGTGTGCCGTGTCAATAAACTTCTTCTTCCCTACAATATCCTCGATATTGTAGCCTCGGTACTGAATAGTTCCCTTCAGGCCATCGCTACACCCCTTTATCAGTTGCTATTCACCATGAACAATCTCTCGAGAGGTAACGCACATGTAGGTAACCTGACTCTCACTGACAGCCGTGTTGGAGTAGCCGGGGTCAAACACCCGGATGCCCTGCTCGTTCTGATCTTCAGGATGTGCGGGATCCTCCGGGGACTTGAGTTTCTTGAATTCACTTGCGTTAATGGCGTTGCGCACGATAGGGATGGGGAAATAGTTCCCCGTGCGGCTGTCTATCACATGGAGAACTGGGGTTTCTGGCTTGGTCTCTGCATTTTTAGAGCTGCCGTTGCGAGCGGCGTTGGGTGCGATGTCGGGCATATTGACGTTGATACTACTCTGATATGGGATTAGAAGATAGAGGATCGTAAATCAAGACTACTGTGCCAGCTTGATGGAATTACCTCGTATATAAGCTACATCGCTGACAGGCCAGACGTACAAATTTCTGATGCGGTTTTAATTGTGTAATCCCTTCTGCTACACTTGGGGGCTCTGAATCCCTCGAATCCTGCCGTCGGGCATCGGCCGCCGGGCCACCCCCCCTTCAGTCATAACTGATGCGCCGAAATGCCCGGGGTCCTCGGACATCTGTGAACGCGACACTGCTCGGCCAGCGGTTGAAGATAATTATATCGGATTAATGCTGTCCGCTTTGAGGAAGGGACCTCTATATGAACAGCATTGTCGTGCCACACCCCACAACTCCCCCTCCGCGATGTCCATCTTCGTCTCCAGATCACCACATAACACCCAACACAAGATGGGCGAACCGATTCAATCACTTCCAGATTCAGAGCAGGAGCGACGTGCTCTGGCACGGACACTGCTCATTGAACTGCTGGCGTAAGTGCCACTACGGGTCAAAATTCCCTGAGAGTTGTAGGTTAACGAACCTGACTAGCTACCAATTTGCCTTTCCGGTTCAATGGTGAGTTTCGTTCATATCCCCGAGCTGCAAATTTGCCACTGACCCCATCAGGATTGATACACAGAAAGAGTTCTTCACGCGAGATGAGGCCGTGGAGCGATACGTAGAGGTCGGCCCGGCCAAGGTGTTGTCCACCATGGGCAAGAAGACGGTTGCCCGCAATCACCAGCTGCAGGACCAGCTGCGCCTGATTCGCCGTCAATTCCTTTCTCACAGCGATGATTATGGGCAGATATGCTATGAATACGAAGAGTCGCAACCAGTGGCCACGACAGAGACTCAAGCTGCCCCAGTCACCCCAGCACCAGTTGCTGTGGCCCCTGAAGCCCCGGTTGCTCCTGCTGCAGCTCCCGCAGCTCCGGTTGTAGCGGCAGCCGCTGTCGATGATGTGCCACTATCTGCGCTGGATATCGTGCTGGCTCTGAGTGCCCAGAAGCTGAAGCAGCCATTTGACCAGGTGCCTCTTCAGAAATGCATTCGGGACCTGTCTGGAGGTAAGACTGGCTCATCTAACCTTCTCAACAGTTCCCTTCTAACGCTGTCCAGGTAAATCTACACTACAGAATGAACTTATTGGTGACCTGGTGGCCGAGTTCGGTGGTACACCCGACGGCTGCGAAGACCTTCCACTCGAAGCTGTCGGGGCAGCTCTCGATGGCAGCTTCACCGGCCGTCCTGGCAAAGTCATGTCTGCATTAATTGCCCGCTTGATCTCGGCCAGGTTTCCCGCTGGGTGGAATCAGAACAGCATTCGCAGCCACCTTGAGATACACTGGGGCTTGGGCTCTCAACGTCAAACAGCTGTTCTCTGCTATGCCGTCAGCTTGGACCCCTCGTCCCGGCTTGAAAGCCCTCAGGCAGCCAAAGAATTCGTCGACAGTGTCGTGTCTCGGTACGGACGCCACTGTGGCATTACTATAAACCCAGCTGCTGCGTCTGCGGGCGGAGGTGGTGCCGCTGGCGGAGCTATGATTGACTCCAAGGAGCTGGAGCGGCTACGCACGGAGCAGAACGACGCTTTCAAGCAGCTTCACCTGGCACTCGGGAAGATCTTGGACAGCGACGGCGGCGAGCTTGTCCAGAAGCTAGCGCACAGCGAAGAACTATGGCAGGAAGCTGACCAGAAGTTGGAGGCTTGGCAGGCTGAGTTCGGTGACGGCTTCTTGACTCGCATCTCGCCCATCTTCGACGCAAAACGCGGTCGCAGCTATGACGCCTGGTGGAACTGGGCTCGCGTCGATATTGCCTCGCTGCTGCTGGGACCCGGTAGCACTGCGAAGGAGGAGAAGATCTGGCAGGTGTTGAATCGCTCGAATCCCAGCGCCTTCGATCTAGTCAAGTATCACATTGCCCACCCATTACGCCACAGTGACAAGCAGCTGCAGATCCAGCCCCTGGAGCAGCTGTTCCAGGGTTACCGTGACGCACTCCAAGGAGACTCCGTCTTCATCCACCGGCTGCCACCTCTGGGTCCTCGTACCATTGTCAGCCCTAAGGGAGTTATCGAGTACGAAGAGATCCCTCGCACCATTGGCGGACGCCCAGATACCTACGTCGAGCTACTCAAGCGCGGAAGTCGCTTCGACGCCCCCATTGCCGACAGCGTACCTTTTGTTCGGCTCTGTCGTCCTAAAGCTAGTGCCTGGAACTACGATGATGCTCTCACATCCAGCTACCTCGATTCTGTCCAAGCGGCCACATCCATCGGTATCAGCTTCTCCGGTAAGACGGTGCTGATCACCGGTGCCGGACCCCAATCCATAGGTGCTGAGATCACGCGTGGCCTGCTCACAGCCGGTGCCAATGTCATTGTCACCACCAGTCGGTCCAACATGGACTTTTATCGCAGCCTGTACCGCGACTTCTGTGGTCGGGGTTCGTCCTTGACAGTCTTCCCCTTCAATCAGGCCAGTCGCCAGGATTGCCAGGCCCTCATTTCTCATCTGTACACCAACACTCTGAGTACTGCAGGTGACATTGACTGCGTGATCCCGTTCGCTGCCATATCCGAGAACGGCCGACAGATTGACGGTCTCGACGGTCTGTCCGAGGTGGCTCACCGCGCCATGCTGGTCAACCTTCTGCGCCTGCTGGGTTGTATCAAACAACAAAAGGAAGCCCGTGGATACGGGGCCAACCCGACGCAGGTCATTCTGCCGCTCTCACCCAACCACGGTACCTTCGGCGGGGACGGGCTCTACTCGGAGTCAAAAATTGGCCTAGAGACTCTCTTCAACCGCTTCAAGTCCGAAAGCTGGGGTGACTACCTGACTGTGTGCGGCGCCGTTATCGGCTGGACCCGTGGCACAGGGCTGATGAGCGCCAACAACATTGTGGCCGAGGCCATCGAGGCTGAAGACGTAATCACCTTCTCGTCGGCGGAGATGGCATTGAACATAATGGCGCTGATGACTCCCGCCATTGCAGAGGCCTGTGAAGACACGCCCGTGTACGCAGACCTGGGTGGCAAGATGGAGCAGCTGGCTGACCTGAAGGGTTTGTCGACTGCCGCCCGTAAGCAGGTGCAACACCAGGCTCGCGCACGCAAGGCCATTGCAGCCGAGGATGAGCTGCACGAAAAGCTGTTGAAGGGCCCAGAGGAACAGCAACAGCCGATCACTGCTCCGACTACACGCAAGCCGCGTGCCAATCTGACGGTCGGCCATCCAGACCTGCCGGATTACGAGGTCATGACGGCAGGTATACAGCTGCCCGGACGTGACATGATCGACCTGAACAAGACTATTGTCGTGGTTGGCTACTCTGAGCTAGGACCCTGGGGTAGTGCCCGTACACGCTGGGACATGGAGCGAGCCGGAGATCTCAGTCCCGAGGGGTACGTCGAGATGGCCTGGATCATGGGTTTGGTTAAGCACTTCGAGGGCGACCAGCAGGGATCTCCCTACGTAGGCTGGGTCGACACCAAATCCAACCAGCCTGTGCACGAGGCCGACTTCGCAGAGAAGTATGGCGAATATATCCATGAACACGCGGGTTTGCGCTTCATCGAGCCAGAACTCTACGATGGCTACGATCCTGCCAAGAAGGAATTCCTGCAGGAGGTGGTGGTGCAGGAGGATCTACCTGTCTTCCAGGCGACTCGTGCTGTCGCTACCGCATTCAAGTCAAAGCATGGCGACAAGGTCTCGATCTCTGCAGCTGGTGAAGATGGGGAGGAGTACAATGTGCAATTCAAGCCCGGAGCACGGTTCTTGGTGCCCAAGGCGCAGCCGTTCGACCGACTAGTGTCGGGCCAGCTGCCTACTGGATGGGATCCAAAGGCGTATGGTATCCCAGCAGACATTGTCTCGCAGGTAGATCCGATCACGTTGTATGTCTTGTGCTGTGTGTGTCAGGCCATGTTGAGCGCCGGCATCCAGGACCCCTACGAGCTGTACCGACACATACACGTCTCGGAGCTGGCCAATTGCATTGGCACGGGCGCAGGCGGATTGATCGCCATGCGTGGTGTGTACCGCGACCGGTATCTCGACCGCGACGTGCAGAATGATATCCTGCAAGAGTCGTTCCCCAATGCCATGGATGCCTGGGCGAACATGCTGCTCATGGGTGCGGCGGGTCCCATCAAGTCCCCGTCAGGAACATGCGCCACGGCCATTGAATCGTTGGACACGGCTTGTGAGGGCATTCAGGCCGGCAAGGTGAAGGTGGCCCTGGTGGGTGGCACAGATGACCTGCAGGAGGAGATGTCGTACGAGTTCGCCAATATGAAGGCGACAGCCAACACCGTGGAGGAGCTGGCACGCGGTCGCACTCCACGAGAAATCTGTCGCCCGACGGCTAGTTCCCGCGCAGGATTTGTCGAGTCTGCTGGATGTGGTGTACAGGTGCTCATGACGGCACAGTTGGCGCTCGAGATGGGAGTGCCCATCTACGGCATCGTCGCGTACTCGCAAATGGCGGGCGACAAGATTGGTCGCTCTGTGCCTGCACCAGGTAAGGGCATCCTGACCGCTGCCCGTGAATCGACTACTGCGTCGCTGTCACCACTTCTGGATGCCACATTCCGCCAGAAGCAGTTTGAAGAGCTGCGAACACAGATCCAGCAGGGGGCGGCTCGCCACCTTCAGCAGGCCCGACAGGATGGTCAGCTCTCACCACACCTGGCCCAGGTCATTGACAGGGCTGCAGCATCACAGATGCGTCAGGCCCAGAATCTCTACGGGCTAGATCTGCGACAACAAGAGCCCGGCATCTCACCCATTCGGGCAGCGCTGGCTGTATGGGATCTCACCGTCGATGATATCGCGGTGGCCTCATTCCACGGCACTTCGACCAAGGCCAACGACAAGAATGAGTCGGAGGTGATCGACACAATGATGAGCCATCTCGGCCGCACCAAGGGTAATCCAGTTATGGTCGTGTGCCAGAAGTACTTAACGGGCCACCCCAAGGGTGCCGCAGGAGCATGGATGCTGAACGGAGGCCTGCAGATCCTGCAGTCAGGAATCGTGCCAGGCAACCGCAACGCAGACAACGTCGACTCAGTCCTGCAGCAGTTCGACCATCTCGTGTATCCTGCTGAGTCCATTCAGACACGCGACGTGCGAGCCTTCATGCTCACCTCCTTCGGATTCGGCCAGAAGGGCGGTCTGGTGGTGGGTGTGTCTCCGCGCTATCTCTTTGCCGCGGTGGATCGGACGCCCTACGAGGCGTATCGCATCAAGGCCCTCCGACGCTGTGAAATGGCCAACCGTGCCTTTATCGAGGGGCTCAACACGAACAGTCTGTTCCAGGCCAAGACATCGTCCGCCTGGGCCGCCGAGGACGAGATGCGAGTGTTCTTGGATCCATTTGCGCGGGTTGCCGTTGACGACGGCAGCTACTATTTCGATGCGAAATGTCTGCATCCTGATTCAGAGGACACAATTTCTGAGACAAGCTCCGGAGTGTTAACTGCCGTGGAGACGCCCTCAACGCCTACCAGCGAGCCGCTGATGGACGCGTGCCAGAAATGGGTGGAGGCGGCTGTGTCGACGGAGGGAACGACCTCGGTAGGTGTGGACATTGAGTCTGTGACTGCTATTAATGTTGAGAACGACGTATTCCTGGAGCGGAACTACACTGAAGCCGAGAGGGAGTATTGCCATGCTGCACCAGATCCGGCACACTCGTTTGCAGGCCGTTGGGCAGCCAAGGAAGCCGTGTTCAAGAGTTTGCAGGTCCCGTCCAAGGGAGCAGGGACTCCGCTCAACGATATTGAGATTCTCAGTGATGGTGGGATTCCAACTGTTCATGTGGGTTGCTCTGTTCCTGAATCTGTACTGATCACAGACTAATGAGACTGCAGCTACATGGTGAAATCAAGAAGCTCGCTGAAGAGAAGCAGCTGGCCAAGGTTCAGGTCAGTATTAGCCACTCGGGCGAGCTTGCCATGGCGGTGGCTGCCACTACGTTTGGTCCTGCTGAGAAGGAGTGAATGTTGTTACAGAGGAAGAAATGGAGCGTATGGAGGGATTCAGACTGTACAATCTGACTTGGATACTCGGCGTTTTAAGATTGCAGTTCTTTTGTTTGTAATGAGTATTATGAGCTTTATGATCAGACATTACTATATCCATCACAATATATTTGCAGTAACTGTCATTGTCATGCTTTTGTAAGCCAAATTCTAAGCCGATGAGACAGGCAACTAATTCTGAATTCATTCTTTCGGCACATAGATGATGCCCCCTTGACAGAACATCCTGCAGAAACATGAGTAGCAATATATCGCGGTTGTCAACTGTTATTAGGTCTATTCAAATCAGCAGCGGGATCCCACTACCCCTAGCCGAATCGCCACACGGGAGGGCGCAGTCTTGATGGCTAGAGCTTTACTAAGTTAATGCATATTACGATGACCTCAACCGTGCCGTATTTAGCTCACTGCATAAGTCCATACCAATAAATGCCTGTTTATCAACTCCTGGTCCAAGGGGGAGAATTCCTGGATGATACAGTGGTCCATAACCTTAAAAACCGGTTAAACCCGTAGTTCCTGGACACCCGGGTGGCTCAATCCTTGACCAACACCCTATATAGTCTTTGCTGTATATCGATTATCGTAGTTTCCTTATTCAAAGTCTTGAAAAAATCATACTTTTCAATCAATTTTACTGGCGGTGAAGGGACTTGGTGTTAATAAACGTAATTGCCCGATGGCCGCTATTAACCGCCGTACCCTATTCAGTTTGGCTCATCATTCCCAAGCCTGGATGTCACGGCTCTGTACAATGAATTGGTCACTTGAGCTTGCCAAAGAAGATGACTTTTCCCGAGCTCATAGCCGCACAGTGGGAAACGTTTGACAATCCTCCGCAGGGCATTTTTCGCCTCTTCTTCCCCATTGAAGATGGCGATTGGGAAAAGAGCCCACAGAGAAGTATCGAGGACCAGCGCACGTCTTTCATCAGGGAGCAGCCGACCGTCAAATGGATCAAGGTGATGGATGTAGAGAAGAAAGGGATTGCGGCCGCTGCCAAATGGTATTTATTCGACAATGCCAGCTCTTTGGCCAAACGCCCACCGGTCGAGGTTGATTGGTATCCCAAAGGTGTAATCAGGAACTTTGTGACTCAGGCTGTGCAGCAATATGAGCAGCCACGGCATGAGATGGGCCAAGGGCCGCATGCGTGTAAGTCTATCCTTTTGTGAACATTATTTGGTTTTGGACGGTTGCTACACATTCCTTACTGAGAGAAACAATTCTGGGCCTTTACATCCAATAGCCCACTGGCAATGTTAGATAGACCTCCACATTGGTTTCACGAGACCCAAGTATCAAAAGCAAGGTCTTGGTAGTAAGTGGATGGAATGGGGACTGGCAGAGGCAGACCGATTGGGGCTGGAGACCAGACTGGATGCCACTGATCCCGGTGTTCCTCTCTACGAAAAGTGCAACTTTCAGGTAGCCAAGGTGCATGAATTGAGGCCGGCAATGCCCGCGAGCCTGACGAGGAGTGAGATGCGGGAATGGAAACGCTGCGAAGAGGAATTTCTACCCATTCGCACCACTGTGATGGTGCGCTTCCCAGGTGGAGTTCCCGCTGCAAGCATGGAGGTTCAAGGAAGTCAGTAGAAGAGGAAGACGTCCGTATACAAGAAAATTACTACTTGTGTAATTCCCACTTGAGAGAGACATAAATACACGGCAGATTAAGCTCCGGTGAGACAAAGACCATTTCTTTTACAACAAGATTACGAATATGTCCTCAATTTATGCGTTAATTTCCGTGAAATAAAATTACTTAGCGGCATCCCTCTTTGCCCACGAGTCATAAACCAGAATCTCGAGGACAACAAACTATCCTAACGGCAATTTCCTTCAAAGCGGCTTACAAGATGAGTAGAAGTCCAATATATTGGTAGAAGGGGCCCGATATCTTAGCCAAATTACAGCCGATCACTAGGCTTCCTCCTTGATTATCGTTAGCTGCTTAGGAGAATATCCTTGCTTTTCCAGAGTATATAGGTGTATTCATCATTCCCTGGCCCAATTTACTGCTTCGATTTTCCTTTATTCTCCTCCAATGCCTCTCAAAGTTCAGGCCCATCAATCACAGCCTCACCACTCAGAATTGTGATCGCCCCTGCCTCCCCATTCGAAACATTTTGAAGGTTACCTGGCCTACTCATACCGCTCATCCCAAACTCTATTCGGCCTTCTGTTGGATCTACTCAGCAGCACGATGAGATATCTCTGGAATCTACACAGTAAAGGTCAGTATAGCATAGCTGGCAATCAGGAATACTATGTTTAAGTAGGGGAGAAGAAAGTACATTGCAAAGCTAACATCCGGGTCAATTAGGTCGGTGGTATCGTTGCTATGAAGTGTACGGTCCTGATCATAAATTTGGTTCCGATCGCCCCGAGGCGCTGAAAAAGATTAAGCAGCTGTGTGAGGAGCCGTACAAGCTAGATGAATGGGAGGAAGCTCAATTTCCTGCTCCGATAGGTGCACTGGCCGGCATAGTCTACACCGTGAATTTGGACGCTGGCACACTGGTAGTGTCCTACCTCGATTGCCCAAAGTATGAAGTCCAGACAGTGACTGACTGGTATGATCTGCGCACGGTACGTGAGGCCTCTAGCTTGTCTGCAGCGGGACTCCGTGAGGAGCTGAAAGAACTACATACGCATGCCCCTGAGGAAATTATGAATAATGGATTGGCGCAGCCGCCGCTGGAACCACTGCACCTCCGCTTGGATATCCCGACTTTCCTGAACGAACTGCAAGCCCGATTGTTCATCGATCTTATGTGGGCCTGGCGCTGGCACGTTTGCGATCCGATAACTATGCGTTATGATTCGCCGGCGATGAATTACTTTTGTATCGCCATCTTACGTCTTGCAGCTTGGGATTTCGAGGTTTCATCTGACACCGATGTTGACCTTCCAGTGACAAATTATCCTGATGTACCCTGGAGCTGCCCCAAAGGTGACATCTACTGGTTCCATGGATTCCTTGTTGTTCTATACAACAACCTGGAAGATCAATCTATGATCCGCTCAGCCGTTCAAAAGGCTGAGCAGTACCTTGAGAAAACCGCATCCCAGAATCATCACGCCCGCTTAATAATTATATCGACATGCCATGTTGTTTTTGCAGAGATCTCAGACGACACTGTCCGTGCAAGTAGCCCAAGTATGCTGATTTCGGATATGTCCAGCGGCCGGTGGCCTGCGGGTTTCCGTGCCCTCTGCCAGATCCTCACAACAAATTGCTGGCGAGAAAGAAAGACACACCGGGAGACATGGAAACCTCACCTGCCTGCGGAGATTGTTCAACTCATCCTGCAGCATCTGGAACCACGCGATGCGGTAGCATTCGCACAAGCGTCTTTCATTGCCGAAAGATGGTATTACGCAAGTATACACCAATTCACAGACCTTGTCGTACAGAGCTCCCGGTTGCTAATACCGTGTTGCGGCAAGCGCAGCGGACTCGAACAGTCCGGGGTGATGTGCTCAGTTTGCTACTCCTGGCAACACACCGACTGCTTTGACCAAGCTAATCTTCCGAGTGATAGTTGTCCCCACTACATTTGCTCGCGCTGTCGAGATGCTGAGCCAGAATTTCTCATGGGCCCCGAAGCCATGTACAAGTTTTGGCGTAAAGGAGCATGCAAGGTTCGACACGAAAGTACTCTCAAGAGGTTTTGGCTACAGCAGAATCAACGCGTTTCTAGTAAAATGCATGAGTCCAGACACTGTCTTGCGGACATCGACTATACAGTCCGGTTTAATGGTGCTTTTTCTGGTTTGGCTTATGGCTTTGACGATCGTGACTTGGACGATGATGACACTGACGCTGATGGTTATGATTCTGATGGCTACGACGATGTTAGCTACGATGATAGTGACTATGAGTATGACGATCATGACGATGACGACGCTGGAAACCATGACACTGACCAAAATGACTTTAATGATGAACCCTGAGAGTGCCTTGCTATCCGGGTAATCAAAACGTAGTTGAGATGGTGCAACTAGAGAAGAGATGACTTGAGGAAGGCAATTCAAATTTCTAGCGCTTTAGACGCGTCTCACGCCCTTATATCTGTTCCACTACTTATGATCATGCCCTTCGGGGCTGTCAGACTGTACTCGTCCATGCCCCACTGTCTCACCGCGTAGGCGTATCATGTAGTGCCAAATGCTTCAACACTTGTTCAATTTGAACACTATCTCTGCGTACATGAAAGGCATGCTGCTCCTGCGATCGACCAGATAGTGAACCAATACTGCCCAACAACCTTCCACCCCTAGAGCTCGGTGCTGAATGGATTGCTGAAGTCGATTGATACGACCCTGAAGTGAATCATCCACTTCCGATCTAACCACGACGTGTCCGACGATCTTGCGACCCTCGGAAGAATGTGGCTGGATTTGACGGATGATGTATTCACAGCCTGGAGAGCACTTGCTGCCCGTTGACGTAGGTGCGACTATAAACCCCTGGTCAATAGGAAAGTAATAAGAGAGAAAGCCGGATGTCATTGCTTTCACAGCGTCTTCGTTGTTCGGGTCCTCCTCGACACGTTGGACAAGTTCATTGAGGATGGGTATGGTGAGATATTCTGCCGTGGTTGGGTCAGATTCAAAGGGATTTGGAACCTGCTGAGTATTTGCAGTGTGGGCGAGGTCTGGGATTATCTAGCAGGTAGGAGAAAGGGGGACCTGATAGAGGGGTGTAGCGAAGCTCGAGCTGACCACTTCGCCAAGGTGGGGAAGATGTTATTTTTCTCCGCAAAATAGCTGCCGAGGATCGGCACTGATCGACGATCTCCTCGGATTCAAGTAGTCGGCTTCCTCGTTTTCCGTCCAGCTTTGCTAATTTTCTATCATAATAATCAATATACATATTGACATGACTAGCCAATTCCCTGTATGCAATCCTGAAACAGCCTTATACTGGCTCATCATCTTCCCATCGCCAAAACGCCACATGAGACTCCCAGGGAGCTCAAGTCTATGTGCATGTAATAATATACGAACGAAACAGAACTGAAAGAATTATACCCAATCTCTTCGATGCATGGTTCCCCCAAGCCTCACTCTCACTTTGTCCATGCTTTTCTGATAAATCGTGTGACAACCGCACAACCCATCACAGTTCCAACTGAGATGACTTTCTGACGCTGCCACCAAACTTGTAAAACAGCATTGGCACGGGGATCATGCCAAGTGTAACGAATCCCAGCAGGGAATTACCCCATCCGTAGCCCAATGTCGAGTACATGCGCGGTCCCGCCAGCGGCAGCAGAGCACCCATCAGCGACCGTGTGACCACCATCGCGGCGGTACCGGAGGCAGCATACCGAGGATAGCAGTCGATCACGTAGGTCTGCAATGTATTGTAAATACCCACCATGCCGAACGCAAAAGGCGCCAGGCCAATGATCGGCACAATCCAGTGCGTATGCTCCTGCGCAGACCATCCGTACCAAAAGAACGAGACGGGGATGAAGAAGGCAAAGACGATAGTGATGGACAAACGCATTTCCGGCTCAAAGACGTTGTTGTTGCGCAACTTCAACCGTGTGATGATACGGTCACTGACCAAGGCAAAGACTATCTGGCCACTGATAAAGCCGACACCGAGACCGAGATACGCGAGGCCACTGATCTCCGTGCTCCAGCCGTAGGACTTCTTGAAGACATCGGTCACTGTGGTAAAGAGCAAGTAGAGACATCCGTAGAGTGTGGCCAGATAGGTGGCAACTGGGAAGACGATCGGCGAACGGACCAAGAGGTAAAATGGCATGATCAGCCGCTTGCCGAGAGTGCTTGTATAAGAACCTTTGGCGTCCGCTCCATTGGTTTCGTAACAGCTGTATAGCTCGGGACGATTGAGCTCCTTGCGGAGGCGCTCGGTCTTGCGGCGTATGATTACGACGTGGTTGGTCTCACGGTTGAAAATCATGACCAGAGCAGAGAGCGTGCCGCCCGCAATGACCAGCACCCAGAACACCTAGCAGGATATCAATATCAGTTATGTGGATAGACACACCGGTGAAAATAACATACCCAATGCCAACCCGCTCGCTGAGCAATGAAACCTCCAAGAAGCGGTCCCAGAACAGGTCCGATCAAGATACCCGTAGTATAAACTGCCATTGCAATTCCACGCTGTTCGGCCACAAATAAATCGGCCACCACACCACCACCTGTGGTCAAACAAGCCGATCCACCGACGCCCGTCAGGAAACGAAAAACGATTAGTGCAGAGATATTGGGGGCTAGCGCGCAGCCAATCTGGAAGGCGACAAAGAACGTGTTGGCCGCACTGAGGACGATCCGTCGGCCGTACATCTCACTTAGCGGAGAAAAAAAGAGAGGACCAGTCTATATGGCAATTTTGGTAAGCACAAGTCAGGTTCTTGACAAAATGGAGACCACACATACTACATAACCGATGAGATAACCTGTGACCGAGAGAGTTCCCAAGATAGTCGATGTGACATCAAATTCCTCTTCCGCGTACACCACACCTGGAGAGAAGACAGAAGACGCGAATGGACTGCAGAGGTCGTAAGTAAGAGACAGCAACCGGTTTATCTGAAGAAAACCTCAGCATACCTGATGAATGTGATGGTACTGACCAGTATCATCAAAAACCACTTCTGAGACACAGGGAAATTCCTATTTCGTGTCAGATGCTAGAACTTACATGGTGGCAGATGTGACCGGCTATCTCTCACCTCGGATTCGTTGGGTCATCCTCGCTGTCCCATCCTACCATGTCCTTCTCGAGGTCTATCACAGGGTGCACATCGGGTCGCTAGTAACTTGACGTTAGTCAACGGCTCACTAGTGGACATAATTCTTGACGATAGCGGAATTCAATGCCTACCTTACCGCCAGCCATGGCGCTGGACGAATCCTTGCTAGTAGTGATTGGTTGTTTGTATTCTCGGAAAAGCAAAGTCGGAGTTTATAGTGGTAAAAGTTGCACTAATAATCGAGCAAACAATCGCATAGTTTGGATGGTGCTCAGCGCTTGTTCGTAGGTTAATTGCGCCTGGGCACCATTCTATGAGATATATAAGGGGGCCGCGATACATCCTCAGGGAGGCTCGGGCCGCGCAGACTTCGAAATCTGACAGATACATCCCAAAAGGAGTCGTGCAATGCACTAAGCATATCTTTCCGGCACGCAATTGACCGCCACGTTGGATCCGGCCTTTTGCAGTGGTTGAGATCAGCGCGTCTGGACTTGCAGCGCCGGTTGGTCGGCACTCGGCCTGCGAGACCCGATGTTTGGGTTAGACCGACCCGTCGAGCTGCCCCCCGTGGTTCGGAATCTCACCCAGCAGCCACTCGGATGTTGGGTGGTCAGGTCTCGGATTGGACGAGAAGAAAAATAGAATATCGAACAAACACTAAGGGAGGGTAAAATAAAAAGAGGGAAAAAAAAAAAAAAAAATTAGACATGAAAGTTCATGATCAGTTGCCAAGCGCACGCGGCACCACGCTCAGCTATTATCGGTCGGATCTTAAGGCGCCCGGCATTGGACACTAGTACCCCCAAACCACCATCACATTACAAGTCGGTCTAAAACAGATAGTCGAAGCTGAGTAAATCCCCCGTCATCCCGTCAAATTCCCCAAGCTCTCTCCCAAACAGGTAATCCTCGCCTTCCGTAGGTCGTTGCAAATTAAAGGGTCGCGCTTCCAGGTAGTACGTCTGATCTCCGAGCCCTGGCTCCGGTCCATAAGTGGCAGCAGCCCCGGCCAGCGCCTCCATAACTCGCTCAGCTGTCTGGGGAGTGGTGTTTTCGGGCGCCGGAGTTGGCATAGTCGTACATGGCGCACCTGGTTGGAGCGGGGGAACCACATACCCTGACGGTACCGGGGTGGAATCTAAATGAGATAACGGAGGCTGTGATACAGGAATCATGCCGTATGCTTCGACCGGATTAGACTGGGAAGGATGCGTCTCCACGCCGCGCGTGAATGACCCTGAGCTGGGAGCAACCACTTCACCCGCTCCAGGACCGTTACATCTCTGATTCCCCTGAGGTGATGCAGCATGATGCTGTCTTGTCGTCGGTCCCGTATACGGCTCGCTGGCTTTATCTGCAACTGCCTCTGCGGTATCATTCGGACTTTGCGACTGCGAGCCGTGATCCGATTTAGTGAACGTAGCTGTCAGTACCTAGTCGCTTACGTTAGCCTAGAATCGTCAACATGGAACCATCCGTGGTCGTACTGTTAATGCCACATGCAGGCGACGGGAATGAGAACTGTAAGGGGTGAGGCACATCAGCATTCTCTTTGCTGTTATCAAATCTATTTTGAGATTTCTTGCTGTGTCCGGGTTCTTAGAGCCCACCACCACATATATCAATGACAGACCTGCTGTGCAGACCATGTACGCAATCCTCCAGTGAGCTCCATATAGGAGACCGTCCCGGTGCATATCTTCGGTCAAATGGATAAGATTGCGGCTGGCGTCAACACACGCCGAGGCGTACTTGTGAAATCCGTGTTCGGCATGGCCGTTCCCCTCGGTGCTGTCGACGAAGTAGTGCAGGAACGGTCGATATAGAAGAATTTGGACGTGTGCATATGTCATCCATAGCTCGTATTTCGCCCTGCGACCTGTTAGCTGGGTGAAACTTAGTGGGACCGCACTCATGGTGACCTTACTTCTCTAAGTGGGGGGCGTATCGACTTGTGCCCCGTTTATACCCCAGTGGGAGCGATGTGGACCACTTCTGCAGCTCTGCTTCGAGCTGCGTGACAATGTCGTTGCTCACCCGGTGGCTCATGGATCCGCTGTTGGTTTTGCGCCGGACGCCTCCTGACGGATAAAGCTCTCGAACTATTCGATCCAGAATATTGTGGAGCTTCAACAGCGCGACAGAACCAGACATACTCCGAATCAGTGCCGGGTCTTGTAAGGCTTGTGATATCCTGGTCGACTTAAGGTCGTTATCGTCCAGGTCTAGCGGCTGTTCGATGTCGACTTCATTGCTGTTGATCGGCCGCGGATATCCGCACATCGAGGCTACGACCATCAGTAATTGTCGTAGAGACCAAAAAAGTCGCCGCTTGATCTCGGCGACGATTAGATTGTCTCTCGTATTCGGCAGCTGGAGATTCATGCGAACGGCGAGAGAGAATGCGTGTGACAGGCATGTATAGCACGGTGATAGCCTCTCCGTGCTCAAGATGAATAGATTCATATAGAAGATTGCTTGTAAGGTAACGATATCATTGCAGTCGTGCAGATCCACTAGATCACGGCATGTGGAGAAATATTTCGTTCTGCTCGCGTTAGCATGGTTTTTTGTTAAACGACACGGTGGAATGTAGACATACCTCTCCGCGGTCATGTCGTCCCCGCTTTCAGAAGAGCCCTCGCCGATCTTCTCAAACAGGCAGCCCAACGCCATGAGAGCGTAGACGAGCGGGATATGGCGCGTTTCCCCTTCCCCATAGTCGCTCTGATCCAGGCTGTAGAGGAGTTCGAACGCCGAGTCAAACGTGGGTCGGTGCACGACATGATAGAGGACGCTTGCATCCAGCGCAATGTTGATTAGGTGCTCCGCTCGCTCACGGGGTGGTAAGCAGACGACCCGCGGTGCCGGGTTGGCTGACTGGAACAATTTCACTCCGGGTTTCTCTCGTATACGTAGCCGGCTGTCGAAGTCCGCGCCGGGCCAGTCTCCCAGCTCCGCCTTGAGGCGCTCAATAAAAGCACGGTCGGCGGATGAAAATCCGAAGCGAGCTTCTCCTTGGCTTGACTGGGCCTGAGGCTGGGAATCTGTCGGGTCGTGGCCGACATCATTGGCGCCGGCTGTTGACGGGGGATGGAGTTGCGTCGCCGAGCTGGGGGACTGAGATGAATCTTTGGTGGCAGAAATGGTCTGATAGGATTCCTCCATCGCCTTGACCCTCTTCTCCAACTCCTGCAGACGATCGAAATGCGGGGAAGCTTTGCGCTTGCGCCGTGGCTCCGGATACACACATTCTGTACCCGTTAGCTTGTCCCCAGCCTACCGTCTGTGGTGTTATCGCGACACAAAAAAAAAGGGCCTCGCACCATTGAAGGAGGTGCGACAGTGATTGCAGGTAGAGACGCCGTCACACTTGATTTTCATCTGGCGACAGCGCTCGCATGCCCGGCGAGTACGATCCTTGGGTCTTCCGGTGGCATCGGAATGGGAGGCATTCCCATTCGGGGGAGGGGGCATCTGAAAATGGCGGAACATGATGAGAGGGGGATGAGGAAAGACCTGACTGCGATGCAGTCATTGGGAGGAGAGGATGTAATGGAATGGAATGGAATGGAATAGAAATAGAGATCAACATGCGCCCATAGCAAGTTGAGTTGTGGGATAGAGGAAAAGAAAGGAAGAGTAATAAGGTGGATGGAAGATGAGTGAGTGAGTAAGTAGTAGCAGGTGAGGTGAAAGTTCCAGGTTCCAGTCAGAATGCCGCCCGATCGCGAGGTTCTCGCCAATGACGCACCATCAAACAACAGTTTGAAAGGATCACGTGGTGACTGGGGGGAGGGGAGATTGGAAGGAGCCGCGGCCAGTGGTAGTGGTGGTGGTGGTGGTGGTGGTGGGTTTCGTATTATTGAGCGCATTCTAGATTACTACTCCTAATAATTCTCTCACTCTCACTCTCAAATCCTTTCTTGTCCTGAGGCACCCGGGGGCGGGAGGATCTTATTGCGCCCGACTGCTTATCGACCTACCTCTGCTGTCGGCTGGTCCCGAAACTTGCCTGTCACTGCCAAAAAAAGAAGAAAAGAAAGAAGGGGGAAAAAAAAGTACCCACAGCGGATCATTTCTCTCTCCACTCTCTCTACTTAGTACTACTACCTTATTGTCTACTACATAGTAGTCTGTGTGTCTGTCCAACGGTTTTCCTATACTCACACACAAGTCACATTTGCTATCTACTCAGTTTGGCTCCTCTAGTGAAAGATGCACTTTTACTTTCAACTTTATGATCCCTAGTTTGAAGGGTATATACTTCTGCGACTTCAATCCTTCTTTCTTCCCACCTTACGGCTTGATGGAATACGATGATGCTACCGCGTAGGTCATTACCTGACGGCAAGACTCACATTTTTCCTTACTCGAAGGATACTCAAATGATGCTCGGGACAAGGGATAATTGACTCTAACGTGGTTTAACATTCTAGCAGTGAAGGTCATGCTACATAACCCGGTTGGGGAACGAATCCCGGAATAAGAGACAGACAAGTGGAGACAATTTCATGCACATCCTAGCCATCATCATCATATTTAAATATAGCGTAGTCATCAGCCATTACTAGCCTATTTCTCCCATCTATTTAACTACTCCACCCCCCTCCCCCCCGGTTCCCCTGTGTCGCGCACTTGCCCTCTCACACCTTCAAGTGCTCATCAAACCACTGCACGGCCTGGATGAAGGCATTCTCCTTGGCGAATAGCACCTTGGGGTCGCTGAGGTCTCCCCGCAAAGCAAATCTATGACATGATTAGTCTAAGGCGCAGTCCATTGGGTTTCATAATCACTCACCCATGACCGACACCGCCATAGAGAGTCTGGGCATAGGGCAACGCCAGCGTTTCCAAGATCTGTTCCGACTCGTGTCGCTTCTCGGCGGGGAAGACGTGGTCCTTCTCGGCCGCCGCAATGGCCAGAGGACCCTTGATGGCCTCCAATTCCTCCTTTTCGACCAGACTAGGGTGCGCCAGGAAACCGACATCCACCTTGCCTTGGTCGGGCTTCAGGAACCGAACAACATACTTGGCGCCAAAGCAGTATCCGATGGCACCGATTTTCTGTCAGGAAATCAGTCCCACCGTTCGTCCGGCCAGCCATTGGCAGCGGAAAGATAGGCCTACCTTGATGTGGTACTTGGTGCGCAGTTCAGCTATGCACTTTTCCAGAATGGGGTCGATGACGGGGGGAGTGTGTGCGATCTTCTTCTCGTGGTACTCGCCCACCAGCCATTTGTGGAGGTCCAGGCCCGCGGCGCCACCAATGGGGATGGGATCACCATAGAAGAGATCGGGGATGAGAACCAAGTAGCCATTGGCGGCGAACTGGTCAGCGATCAGCTGGGCATTCTTGAACCGGTGGCCCAGGATATCAGTCAGTCTATTTTGGTCAGTTGAGACTATTCAGTTGCAACCATTGCAGTGAGAGGGACAGACAGGATGATTGCTTTCTCGGGAGCGGCACCCTCGGGAGCCTTCTTGTAGACTTCAAAGTCATCAATGGTGATGAAGTCGCCAGTCGCGTCGCCGTCATGCTTGACGCCCTGGAAGCAGCACTTTCTGGGAGGGTAGGAGGTCATTGTGATGTGTGTAGTTGGGGGGAAGTTCAAGGGACTTGGTCGGAAGGGTTTGAATGCTTGACTATGTGACCATGGACTTCTCCCGGTGACTTTATACCCCTCTACTACCTTATTCAAATGCAGTTTTGAGTGATCGGAATCATCTTTGACGGCATATCTTCCTAGTCCTCGGTCGCGGACCGTGGTGTTTCTGGTCGGCAAGGATGTTGGGCATGGTACTTCCTGTTGCCCTCTAGAGATCCGAGGACTGCCCGATGGGGAACTGCCCCGACCGAGATTCGGGTTAGCGCGGATCCCGCGCTAACCTCAGTCTCGGCCTTTCCCGCTGGCATCCCGATTGCGAGGCAACTTCCTCGTTTTAGCCAAAAGAGGTAAGAGCATGTTGGGAGGTATTGCCTCAGGCAGTCAGCCTTTAGGTTATCTCCTACATACTCCGTACACTGCTAACCTTTCCTCGGCTTGTATCTGCATAGGTACTACACTACTCTGTACTAGTATTAACTATCTACTACTTACTCCGTGGGGTTGGAACAACTGCCACCACCCGTCCCGTCGCGAGTTGCACCGATCACGTCGCTCCCCTACATGCAACCACAGAGCGTACTGTGTCTACCAACCAGTGTCCCGCGCTGTGGAGGTCGGTTTCGGCACCCCGTGAAAATAAGCAAGAGACCGGCTGTCATTTGGACTTTCGTCTTCTATTCGCCGTTCTGACATACCTCACCTCGTCGACCATTGCCGATTCAATCGATCGATGAGTTGATGGAGTTCAATGTGCCCACTGCCGGGTCGCAAGGTGAGGAGACACTTGTCCTAACACAATGAGCATTGCATGCGTTCGCATCCTGACCAAGATACACTTCAGTAGAAGAAATGCGACCGTATCTCTTCCTGCTCCGCCTGCATCACCCGCCGGGCTCCCGATAAGCGACAGCGCGTGCTCCTCTCGCCCCGCGACGATGAGGCCATGGAGAATGTACGCAGAAGCTCCTTCCGAGCAGCCCACAGTCTGAATCATCATCAATGGCTCCCCATTCACTCTTTCATCCTCGTGTGACGGGAAACCAATCTTTTGAGAGATACAACTTTCAGCAGGCCCTACGAGTATCTCGGCAGCGTTAGCCAGAATGGCGGCCGACAGCGACTTCAGTACGCCTAATGTCGACAATGTCCGAGCGAATACTGTTTGGGTGGGAATTACTGTTCTTGGCGCGTTTGGCTGGATCTAATAGGCCAATGGCGGAAGAGGAGCTTTGTGACTGATCTGTCTAATCCGCACGTTTGTCGAGGGACCGTAGATATATGCCTCTTCCTACACCTGCTCTTGATGCCTGCTGGGGAAACGCATCTTGTCATACAAAGTCCTCCTTTCTTTCGCATAATCTATGGCAACTTGTTATAGAGTTACTGCTCGGCTCAACGGACGATGCCTCTGCTCAAAGTCAGATCCCGGTTCAAACTCATTCAGTACCGTGTCCTATTCATGGGAAGCCATGACGTACATTTGGGGCTCCTTATTGAACGCCCTCACATGATGGAAGCTCCGTATCGCAAGGTCGGTTTCGCATCAACTGCAATGGTTTGCCGGGAGCTATAAACATGAGTCGGATCCAGGAAATATCGGCAGACCAAATTTGGTCGCCTTCTCAAAAGCTTCGTGTCAGCCGAATGAGCTTGAGCACCGGCTCCAAGGCCGGGGATGGGGCTTCCCACACATAGACACTCTGCATTCAATAGCTGTCATGTCGACATCACGGATTATTCACACCGTGGACCATTCAATTAAAGTCATCACGGCATCACGGATCATTCACTACTAGTCATTATCTATATATTGGAACCTGGGCCCTCTTTCGCATCAGCGCAGTTAGCAGGGGCTTCTTCAGTGTCGGAAAACAATATTCGAACATGGCTCCCTTTAAAGGCAGCATCTCCCAGCGTGAGGTCCAGTGGGTCAGACTCAACAGTTCCTGCACATACAACAAGATCTGTTATTTCAGGCGAACCAAGTCTGTGGTCGGCCTATCTCACCTCATCAGCGTCATTGGACAGTTCCTGATCATCTCTTCTAAGAACCGTACGCTTCCTCTCCTCACCTTGTCCATCTATCCTGACACTTGAATAGGCTACGATAAACTACAGGACCAAAATGTACCGGGGTATCCCGATGCTCGGGTAGACGCCAGCAACCTACTTAGCAGCCTCACTTTTGGAATGTATGCCTGCACCTTTTTTAAATGTCTTTTTGTGCCTCCTCATAATATGCGACTGGTTCTGGCCGGAGCGGAAAGAGAACCTTTGCATTCAATGAGCATGGAAACTCGGTTCCGCTGCGGCGAGCCTGTTCCAACTGGCAGCATGCGTAGTGATTACTATCATCGTTTGGCGACGCAGGGGGTCCAGATACACGGTGTATCAGCAGATGAACAAGAAACCCTCCGAAGCACCTGGGACTGGATCTCTTTGGCGTACCGAAAAGATGGCCGGACAGTAGCGGGGCTAGTGTTCTACTGGGTTGGGTGTGTGTTTTTATTCTGAGGGTAAGTTCTTGGATGAAATGAATGCGATGAGAGAGATGTCTAACCATGTGCCAGTACCAATACTATGTGACATTGCTACGCGTACCACAACACTGACAGGCGGTTTGTCGAAGATGCGAGAAAGGGAGGGAGCCAAGTCGCTGGTGAAGGAAGGACTTGATTTAGGCTTCACTGCAATGAAATAGTTAGCTGAGGCTAGTTGGGATAAGTTACTTCCGCGGTCTGAGTGAAATATCAGCTTTGTTGCTGTATTGCTGAAGCCCTGGGGCCAATTCTGGAACACCAGGAAGAATTTCAGAGGCACTTGCTGCATATTTGAAGTCTCTGGTTCGAGGATCTGATTTAAATTGATTACCTAGATGTTCAGTCAGATAATACTAGAACGCCTTGCAACAAACATAGCCTCAGGGAGACGACAACGTTCACGGTGTAGCCATGTGTCAACCATGTCAAAGCATGTCCTTGACTGCCACGAATATTAACTTCCTACGTCATATAAGCGATGATCGCCTCTTCCTTTGTTTTATTACAGCGTACTCACTTTCGGAAACTTGGCTACCTAGCTCGAGCTATGGTGGGCTGTCATATAGTAGTATTGCTTCTGCGGCAAATAGGAGCAACAGTTCGTCCCACGGTTAAGGTTGGGGTCCAGGGGGGGTGGTGCAGCAATAGCTGCAGGGTACACTTCCAACCTAGCAAAGCGCCTTTGAGGATCTAGGTATTGAATCCGTCACATGGTGTATGCATAGGCGATTCCAAACCCCCCACTGTTACACCCGGACTGACATGACTCAGGATGTAATTTGCTATGCGAGAAACTGGATCCCATCGCCCTGGCAAAACATGCAGTGACTCGCACGTGCACGCAGGCATGACGCAGACTGGCTCAGTGGGTCTAAAGGAAACACCAGCTGTTCTGGAAAGCCGGCGCTGCATACTACAGCGACAAAATGCCGCGTGTCAGCTAATACAGTTGCCTGATACAAGATCGATTCCGATCGCAGAGTGTGATCGTCTCTATGGGCTTCCATTCCGTCCAGACGTTCCAACCGATGAGAAAGCGAGTGACAGAACATGGCAGAACCGCGTGGCCGACGGAGTGGCACCTTGGCTGGCAGGTTCAAGCTTTGGCCAAGGAAGCTTGCGCTCGGCGTGGGTTGCCGAGGCGGGCAGCCCCGAGCCGTTGTTCACCCTCTTAAAATCAGGTGTCCGTGAGGGACATCATCTCCTATCAGTGCCTGGCTCATCCAAACTGCTATTTACCCACGTGTGTTCTGGGGATGACTCTACATTGGTGATTCCGTCGTCAGCAGGAGGCAGCGGAGATACGAGGGATACCAGAAGGAGTGGGAAGACACCGGCAGCGACCCCCGGAGATAAGCCCTTGCCGGGTGCATGATTAGTTGACTACACTAGTCGATTAAGCTGCTGCCATTGACCAACGGCAGTCTGTGCCTGTGTCCGTCCCACCCGTTCCTTCTGCCAATGGGAGAGTTGGCCGAAACCACGCCTTTAGACTCCAGAGTATGATTCGAATCTCGTGAGTCCCGCTGAGAGGTGGGATTCAGCCCTGTTACGTCGAGCTGGAGGGCTTCTCGCTTTGGGATGCTGAGCACGTGGGCTCTTCTGTGAGTCTGTCACTGGTAGACATCCCTCCGTCCTCGCTTTCGCTACTTTCTAGCTCACTCATCTTGAGCCGTCTCCTGGCCTGCGTGAGGCGAGCAGCTCACAGATGCATGCTGAACCGCACAATCTCCGATCGCCGGGTATAAAAGGTCCTCCAAACCCCTCCCGGTCGATATGTACCCCGCTCGTCATCTCCTATCCTCTCGAGAGCACCTTCTCCAGCTTTTGTCAATTGTACCTTCGCAATGCCTCGCACCTCTCTCCTCACCCTGGCCTGTGCTCTGGCCACGGGCGCATCCGCTTTCTCCTACGGCGCTGCCATTCCTCAATCAACCCAGGAGAAGCAGTTCTCTCAGGAGTTCCGCGATGGCTACAGCATCCTCAAGCACTATGGTGGTAACGGACCCTACTCCGAGCGTGTGTCCTACGGTATCGCTCGCGATCCCCCGACCAGCTGCGAGGTCGATCAGGTCATCATGATCAAGCGTCACGGAGAGCGCTACCCGTCCCCTTCAGCCGGCAAGGACATCGAAGAGGCCCTGGCCAAGGTCTACAGCATCAACACTACTGAATACAAGGGCGACCTGGCCTTCCTGAACGACTGGACCTACTACGTCCCTAATGAGTGCTACTACAACGCCGAGACCACCAGCGGTCCCTACGCCGGTCTGCTGGACGCGTACAATCATGGCAACGATTACAAGGCTCGCTACGGCCACCTCTGGAACGGCGAGACGGTCGTGCCCTTCTTTTCTAGTGGCTACGGACGTGTCATCGGGACGGCCCGCAAGTTCGGTGAGGGTTTCTTTGGCTACAACTACTCCACCAACGCTGCCCTCAACATCATCTCCGAGTCCGAGGTCATGGGCGCGGACAGCCTCACGCCCACCTGTGACACCGACAACGACCAGACCACCTGCGACAACTTGACCTACCAGCTGCCCCAGTTCAAGGTCGCTGCTGCCCGCCTAAACTCCCAGAACCCCGGCATGAACCTCACCGCATCCGATGTCTACAACCTGATGGGTATGTGATTACGGTACAATCATTGGCTCAAACATCCAGCTGACAGCATCCTAGTTATGGCCTCCTTTGAGCTCAATGCTCGTCCCTTCTCCAACTGGATCAACGCCTTTACCCAGGACGAATGGGTCAGCTTCGGCTACGTTGAGGATTTGAACTACTACTACTGCGCTGGGTGAGTTTACCATTTGATCCATTATTGTCTCAGATCAGCAACTAACCATCGATAGTCCCGGTGACAAGAACATGGCTGCTGTGGGTGCCGTCTACGCCAACGCCAGTCTCACCCTCCTGAACCAGGGACCCAAGGAAGCCGGCTCCTTGTTCTTCAACTTGTACGTTCTCGGCAGAATCAAATTTTCACGAAAAGAAACTCTTCACTAATATATAGTAGTGCCCACGACACCAACATCACCCCCATCCTCGCCGCCCTAGGCGTCCTCATCCCCAACGAGGACCTGCCTCTTGACCGGGTCGCCTTCGGCAACCCTTACTCGATCGGCAACATCGTGCCCATGGGTGGCCATCTGACCATTGAGCGTCTCAGCTGCCAGGCCACCGCCCTCTCGGATGAGGGTACCTACGTGCGTCTGGTGCTGAACGAGGCTGTGCTCCCCTTCAACGACTGCACCTCCGGACCGGGCTACTCCTGCCCTCTGGCCAACTACACCTCCATCCTGAACAAGAATCTGCCCGACTACACGACCACCTGCAACGTGTCTGCGTCCTACCCGCAGTATTTGAGCTTCTGGTGGAACTACAACACCACGACGGAGCTGAACTACCGCTCTAGCCCTATTGCCTGCCAGGAGGCTGATGCTATGGACTAGATGCAGAGGGGTAGGACCGGGATACTTTAGTGATGATTGATATTCAAGTTTGGTGGTGACGATCACCTTGTTAATATTCTTGTACAGTCATGCGGTGAATGTAAATAATGATAATAGCAATGATACATATTGGAACCTCGTTTTGTTCTTTGTGTGCATAGGCGCTTTGGGGGTTGTTTTTCGGCTTTAGGCTTATTTTCAATTCGTGTATAGTGCGGTCAGTAAATTCATCAACAATTTTTATTGGAATGCAATGCTGTGTACGAGAAACTATTGGATAAAAGACGCAGCTACTAGCTGACTGCTTGGAAACTTTCTGTGTACACCGCATGCCGTCTCGTATGGTCGGGGTTCAACTTGGACCGTGCTTCGTGAACTTGCCATAACTCTCAACGGTCGCATCGGGCTATTTGGCCTCGACGAATGTGAGATTCGGTTCATAGCTAGTTCTAGTGAGCAATAAGGTTAACTAAGTATGTTAATAAGGGATTAGCAGACTGGAGTGGTGACTAAAAGTTCAACTTCGATGGCCCTTCCGAATGTTGCGGCAAACCCATGACAAAATTATATATCACCGACACAGCACCAACTGAGACAAAAGTAGTTTAGTACTACTATAGTACTATCTGGGTTTTAGCACAACTTCAATCAATGTACAAAGGCGACCGATAATCTCGAAGAGATTACCGTACTCAAGCTGATTGCCATGATTCTTGCATACCTAATTTGATTATAGCATACTCGCACTGTCATATGCTTCCCAGGGGTTGGTTGAAAACGTATCGGATTGAGTATGTAGGGTACAGGTAACCTTTCTGCTACCTGTGTTCTAGCGCATCCATCTTACCAAGGATCCAAAGATGTACATAACAAAACCATTAGCCTTTGAGAGCTTGTTTAAAGATGTCTTTGTAAAGTGATGTGCAGAGAATGCGGTCCCTTGAAGGGGATAAGGAAGGTATGAGAAGAAAAAAAGAAAAAACAAAAAATGCTTCCACGCGGATTCGAACCGCGGACCTCATGATTACTAGTCATGCGCTCTACCAACTGAGCCATAGAAGCTGGTCGATGTATGGAATACTAACTGTTCGCTTTATGTGCAGCAAATATAATCAAGGAGCACGCTGTCACAAAAAAAGCTTTCTTATGCAGGTTCCCGGATTGACAGGACAACATCAACCTGTCCAGTCTGACCAAATGTTACCAACTGATTATCTGCAACCTCCTTGACCCAATTATCTAACATGTTTGCCAATTCATGCGTTGGGACTCACCATGTCCAACAACGTACTTCCTAGACTATCTCATCAGTCACCACTTCAAATCAATTCCCCATCGTTCCTGACCTTCAGCCACTCCAATCTAGCAGCAACATACAAAGAATCCCACAAGAAAATCAGCATCGATGACGTGAGATGTGCCCCAACTGGACCTGACGCGGCTGAGGGATGGCGGAGCAGTGGATTCGGATCGTGCAGCCATTGGGGGCCACGGTAAGCCGCCACAGCTTCAGCCCCAGCAGTAGTCGACTACTACGTAGTAGTGTCGGACCCTGTCAGACTCAAATTGTCTGAGATATAAATAACCCCGAACAGATGACCTATCATCCTACCCCTTTAAGCCATGAAAACAACCACTTTTTTCTCCATTGACAGTACGCACTCTACAACACATCACCACTACAATTCTGTCCCTGCACGAGAAATGTCCGACCACGATGTCCCCGCGTTCGATGTCTACTTCATCTTCCAGAAACAGGAGTTGAAGCTCGTCTTCAACTCGGCAACCCATGCAAATGCATACCAAGCCTCAAACCGTGAGGGTCGCATCTTCACCGCAGAGCCCACCGCTGTCTACCTCCCTCACTCCCCCGCCATGACCTATCTCCGCGACAGCAGCAATGGTCTGGTGATTGGCTTCGCGACCACCGAAGACGCAGAGACATGGTGCCGCACATCCATTCTCGGCCATCTTTACTCGTCAGAACCGTCTCCGGAGGTCCGCATCAGACGCACCTGGACGGACGAGGAGCTGGATGAGGTGCTTCGCATCCAGTCCAACACGAATGTCTTCCGGAAAAGCGTCCCTTTCACCCTGCGCCCTGCCATGCCACCAAGCATCACTCCTCCCGCAAGCAATTCCTCTTCCTCTACCACTACCTCGAGAGCCCCGAGTGGTCAGTTCGCACCGCCTCCGTGGGCACAGGTCTCGCTGAACCTGGATTTCGAATCCCCGCCCACTACCACGTTGACCCCACCGACTCAATATCAATTGCCAAGCACATACTCGCCAGTGTCGGACCAGCCACCCAGGGAAAATATCATAGCGTACCCCGGTCCACAGGCGCCACGCGCACAATCCTACGCCGTACCTTCAGAGACAGGGAACGGGCCAGCGCAAAGGAAGCCTATCCCACAGGTCGACGAGCTTGGAGTCGCTCCTCTCCGACCTACACATATTTCACCGAGAACGTCCAGTACGAGTCTTCATCGTGTATCAGTTCAGTAGACGATCGGGAAAGTAAAATAACTGAGACGATTTACATAGCGATGGCGTTAATGTTGAAGGTATTGCAGTTTTGCATATTTTTTTTTATGGTTGGGTTATAATGATAAAACAGTCGTTAAGAAGACAATAAGAGTTGTCCAACGGTCTATCTGCCGTTCATGGTAGGTGCTGCAATAGAGGGTGTTTTTCTTTGCTGTAGCACATTAATCATGCCTGCGTTATTGAACACAACGCATCGGCATCGATCAATTACTGGGTTCGATAGCCATCTATAGATAACCTCACATCCCCTCAATACTGACGATCCGGCCAAGCATCATACAAGCCCTCGGACACAGTCACGTTGGAGAACGCAACACCACTCACACCATTATGGAAGAAGCTGATGTCAGTGGAGTTGGCATACCAGGAACTATCCTCAAGTTAGCATCACCACACTTCAATCATCAACCAGGAAGATACTCACCGAACCCAGGTACTCAACGCAAACCGACCATTGGCATAAATCTCCAACACCGAGTTATCCACCACGAGAGTCAAATCCAGCGTCTCAATGGCCTGCTCGCCGCCATTCAGCACGTCAAACAGACGCAACTTGCCAGCTTCCGCACTGCTATCGATGCCATCAGTCGTGCGCGCCGCAGCACTAGTGTTACTGCGATCCACGATAATCGACTCATTCGAGAACTGGTAGTACACAGTGGTACTCTCGTGCTCCGACGAGAGGATCTGGAATCCACTCTTAAGTCCCGATCCCCTAGCCGAAGCAGGGAAGGACAGCTGCGCGGACAGAACGAAAAACTTCTCGGACGGCGAGCGCTTGAACGGAACAACACCACTGCTGTTCAGGGTGCGGCCGGACTCAGTGAACGACGTTCCCGACAGCAACGCGGCCTTGGTCTCCCGGGCAATGGAGATACCCAGCGTCTGCAGCTCGACGGTGCCCGCACTGCCATCGCTGCTCACGACCTGCCACGAGGCACCAGACTCCCGGGCCAGAGCATTGTCCACCACATTGTGGATATACAGCACGCGCAACTCACGCGGAAGCAGCAGCGTACCGGTCCAATTCTGCTGGTTCGTGGGGAACCCTTCGGCCTGTTCGAACAGGTCACCGGACAGCCAGACGTAGGAGATGAAGCGATCTGGGGCGCCGCTCTTCGTGGAAGGCAGAGAAGTCGAGGGGAGAACCTTTCCGGCAGCAGCGTAAGAGGAGAAGCCCCAGTCGAGGAAGCCCGCCATGTTGGGGGTGAACGAGACAGAGCCATTGTGGGAGACTGCACCAGACACCCAGAGCATGTCGTGGATGCTGGTGAGCTGGGGCACGATGGGCAGGTCAGAGCCCTCAGTGCCGAGGGTGGTGAAGATCTGGCCGTGGGGGTTGTATCCGTACTCGTCGAGACTGAAGACATTGCCGGTCTCAAAGTTGAAGGCCCATCGGCCGGCCCAGGTGCCGTTACCCCAGGTGGAGTTGGTGGGTTCGTGCCACCATTGGCCGAGGTACTCCCAGTACTGGAAGTCTGAGTCGTACTGACGGTAGAGGAATTGGGCGGGGCCCTTTTCGTGCAGACCACCGGAGATGACGGTGTACCAGGTGTTGTTCTTGCTGTGGAGGAGGGAGTCGAGAGTGGGGTTTTGGAAGACGTAGGGGTCCCGGAATGCGGTGACGTTGTAGGCGAAGGGAGGGCCAGGGATGACGGGGCCCTGGTCGAGCTTAGTGAAGTTGCTGCCGCCGTCGGAGGAGACCGCGAGGGATTGAGTCTCACTGCCGCGGGTGTAGGGGATCGACCAGTGGATGGGGAGATAGGAGACGGAGGTGTAGAGGAGCGTGGGGAGGCCGTTAATGCCGTTGGGGATGACGGAGCCGTCGAAGACAGCGACGGGGTCGTTGATGCCCCCGGGGACAATGACTTGGTTGCCTTGGTTGAGGTCTTGGTAGGTGGCTAGATCATCGGTGGTGGCACTGGAGATGCCGCTGCCATCGTGAAGGAAGCCGACGTGGAAGAGACCCGTGGCGGGATCGGTGTAATGCAGGCAGGGATCACCGATTTGGCCGTTTGGGGGCAGGACGTGGGCGCGGGGACGCCATGTTTCAAAGAGGGAGCCATTGGGCAGGGTGGAAAGGTTTGGAGGAGCGACATTGTAGTCGATGAGAACGGAGGCCCGCGTCTGCATCGAAGGAGAGGCAGCAGCAGCACTGCCGAGCAGTACGGAAGCCGTTTGAAGCTTCATGTCGAGGTATCGCAATGGAGGGGACACTCACTTCCCCTCCCTTGGCAGAGGGGAAAAAAGTGACACTTTATATGGCATGTTTTGTTTGATGCAGGGGTGCCGGGGAATTTCCGACAACTAGAACTAGAATGGTTGGAATGCTGGATGAATAGTCCGTATCCTCGGGGAAATTGAGGATTTGCGGAGGAAGTCCGCTTAGGGTTCGCGCGGGGAGATTCAGCGTGGATTCCCCGAAATTTCCCCCGGGTTCCCGCAACGAGGTTATGATGCTGCCGATCTTCAAATGGGGACCCGCTGAGGTTCTGTTGACTTGTTTGAACTTACTTGCTGGATAGACAAGTTAGCTCGTGGAGTGCTTTTGTTTAACCGTAAAGAGAAAGTGAGAGCCGGAGGTTTGTCGGTATGACGAGGTGGAGATCGAGTGGGAACGGCAGTGAAGAAGAGATGAAAAGTGGGCAGGTTATAGGAAGAAAAGGTTTAACGAGTCGTATAGGACACGAGGTGCTGCTTCAAGTATAAAATTAGGGGTGATTTGGGCGAACGCTGTGAAGAGTCTTCATCGCGCAATGTGTGCCTTGGTCTGACTTGTTCGCACTGGTCCGTCACACTCGCAGCGATGAGGGTTCAAAGATCTCTTGTCATCGGAGGAAGATAAGTCCCAGGCACCAAGGTACTCCTTGTTTTAAAGCTCATTATCAATCAGTCTGTGCCGGAAGAGGGTCGGGAAGCTGATTGCCCACACGGCATATGGTGGAGACTGCGAGGTTTGTGACATCGGGTCAGGAAGGTCACAGAATAAGGATCAATATGCTCTGTGAGACGCGACTATCGACCATTACATGAGTTAATAAGTACTTATTGGTATCTCTTGTCGGATTCCTGCTGCAATTGATGAAATCGGATATATGAAAGAAATCGACACATTCAGTACGAAAGACAGAATTGTGTGGTGATATTGGAGGCAGACACGAGAATGCATCCTGGGTCATGAACCCTTGTGCATATTGAACAAGTAAGGGCGTTTCAGGTGATGTAGGTCAAGTTGCAGTTGGTGAATCCATGACAAATGATATAGAGTAATGAAACGTTGGGCGAGGACTGAATGTTGGGCAAGCGCTGAATACGTATGGGTCATTGCGGATTCTGCAACATTCTTCTGCTTTATCTTATACTACGTCGGCGTATGCTGTCTCCTTACTTATCGCATGGAACTAGAGCTGAGGTTTCACTTGTACCTGGAAAGTAAATAGGAATGGGCGGAGCAAAGGGCTACTCGGAGTTATATGACATAATCGTAGACATGATATTTGGAAAATCTGTGCTTCATGGAGAGATCGTGAATTTATCTTATATTTCATCTGAAGGAGCCTCGTAATTGAAGAGATAGAAATGTCTTTCAATAATAAGAGCATAATTTTTTATTTCTTAGTTTATATGTTTTTTAATTCTATTCTATTCTATTTTATTCTTTTAAATCCCGAAATGACGTCGTGCCCTAAAGATTTGATTTATACACACCTCAAACTACCTTGTCTAACAGCATGTCTCTTACCAAGTTAGGTAACACCCCGTAGCCTGCCATTTGTTGTGTCCTCCATAATACTCCAATTGTATAAAGAAGCATGTTCACAGTGTGGTGCCAGAAACTGACGGCGAGCAGAACCATGCACAGATGAGTCTTGAACGGGTCGAAGAAGCCGCCGTACACTACCAATTTTGTCAATAACAACGATTAATGTTAGATATTTTATCTTGGTAATCGCTCAATAGTGGTTTTAGGCTATGCTAAAAAGGACAGTCTTCCAATCGGAGTGGCTCATTTCCAGTGGGATCCAGAGAAACCCTTTCGAGACGCATTCTAGGGAGATCTAACAATGCGAAATGAATTGACCAAGCACGAAATAGCTAAAGGAAGACATGTAAGAGGGGCCAGTCGGATCCGTAGATTCCGACCAAGCTACAGCTGCAGCAGGTCCTCTTGAGGTCAGAGCATCAGCCCTACAGTAGTCTTCGCAAGATCTAGCTTTCTGTTACATCTAGGTAGCCTAGCCCTACGGCATACTTCAGGGTGCAGACAGTTGGAGATAATAACGTATAGAAACATTCAATGTTACGACTGAGAATTTCATTACTCAAAATGCTGCCTTGGACAGACTGTGGATCAAAGGTCCTGTGCGAGTCTTCTACGATGATGCATCTACTATCGATGTTGACGTGTCCCTAAAGCTTCTTGTGGATGAAAGACAAAGGATGCGTCATAACAACTTTGGTACATGGCAATCCCAAACATGTCCAAGCATTCCCTGCAGTTCCTGACCATGATTGGTTACCACCACTCAACACTCCATGCAGATTTTATTGGTGAGCCCCAGTGTGCTGCTACAAGGATTGGCTCGGTCCATGTCTCTGACTTGTCCCAATTCAATTGGTCGGATGGGTGCAGGGTTATGTAGGTCCAACAGGCGATCTGTGCTTACAAGGCTAGCAGGCGGAAGATTTTGTGACAGGTACAGTCTACTCTTCTCACATCCTGCTATTTGTTACGATAGAGGGCCATCCCTTGACCGGCTGGCAGCTCGATAGACGCGTTGGGCGTATCTAACTTGTACGACAACAGAAAGTCACTTCCTATGCAAATTGCTGCATGGTCCACGAGAGTAGGCCTAACGGGAAATATTGGCTTGTAGTGCGGTGATCGCTCTGGCGGTTTCCTGTCACAAATGGCACGTTGGGCTGGTGTCATGAAAGAACCAGAATCCCTCCAGCGATTCTGTGCGCACACTAGCATGGCGCTAGGTGCTAGTAATGAAAGGGATCCTGGTCAAATTCGAAGACCCAGCGACCAGGCTCCAAGAGATTAGAATCTTGTATCACCGATGTTTTTACGGCAACTGAGAGAACGATCATATACCCCGTGGGATCGGAAGACGCCAAATTGGGCTAGAGGGCATCTGAGCGAATTATTCTCTAAGTGAGCCTCACCCCGGTCCCATAGTGGATAGAAGTTATACTGATCTCGGCGTTGTTCGCAAGCATGAGTGCCTCGTGCTAACTTTAAGACGATGTAACTGTACTGCATGGTGCCGGTCAGAAAAAGGAGCCCAAGTCCTTGACGGCTCTTAGTGGAGTAGACACAAGGCTTGAGGCAAGATAGATCAAAGTAATTACTAGGATCTGGAGTGCTCCTCCCCAATCAGACGCCTAGTCCAGGATAAAGACAGGAGCGGCCATTAGCCACGTTGGAAGAGGCTAGACAGTATACTGTTTTAATAGTGGCGAACAGGCAGACTGAAAAGTCAGATGGAGAAAATATCGAAAGCTGACGGTGATAGCGGCTTAATTTTTCACGTCGCCAATGAACATGGCGACAGAGTCTCCAACCTCCCAATTAACCGCCGAGATGCTTGTGACGTTGGAGATGGTCAAGGATTCCCCTTGGGAGGAACCGGTCCCCGTTAGTCCCTTCTGGGACAGTATAGACTACTCGATCGCTCGCAATTTCCTCGGCAGCTTTACACACGCCGAACTGGCACAGCTACCCACTGACGAGGACAGCACCGCTGACCAGAAATCCAAGCTTATACTCCTCCTACGACTCCTGCAGAAGAAATTGGATGAAGAAGAAGCTGCCACTTCTCCCCCATCCAGCCTCTACACCAGCAATTACCACCAATGGTACCGATTATGGCAAGGGATCTACGTCCTTCAGGACGAGTTGAACCTCCCCGAGGCGGAAAAGACCATTCGGATGCTGGTGGACAAGACACCATACAAATCGAATCCAGTACCATCGCATATGCTAGCAGAGCACCTGGTAAAAGTTGGCAAGTACGAAGAGGCAGAACGGACCGAGAGACCGATCCGCGCATGGATGGATGCCCGGCCGCATTTGGGGCCGTCCTCCCCACAGGCGCTCAACGCTCGTCGGCTTATCGCCCAAGCCTTGTGGGGACAGGGACCGTCGAGGCGCTCGGAAGCCGAAGCTCTAATAGCCGAGATTCATTGGATCGTCGAGGAGATGGGGGAAGGGCAGTTTGCGATTTACCAGGCGGAAGAGAGAAGGCTGAACCAGGTGATGATGGCCACTCTACAGTGACTCTGTTCATATATTTGGGTGAATTTCCCTAGTTAGAGGGACCGCCAATGCCCACTCTCAATGCCTCGGGCTGTGCTTTCTCCCCCAGTTGTTACTAGGATGTGCAAATTGGTGCCATCAAGCCGTATGGCAGCTTCCTGGTGCATGGGCTTGTCGCGCGCCGCATACAAACGTGCGCGTAGGTAGATACTGAAAAGTGCGGGAAGAATTTAACGGCGCAAGAACAGGAGGACTGTCATACATGCAACTGACTTTTTGCGCATTCTTCTTAGTAATCTATTGTTGGGCGATATATGTCGTGACGAAAGTATTATACAGGAGAAAAGGGCAATTAAGGAGCGCGAGATTAGAGTCCGTCGAGCGGCTTAGGTATTATAAGGAATGTGGTCTGGCGAGGGTAGGTGTATATGTCGATCGAGGAGTCGCAGGAAAAGGGTATATTCGGGAAGGAAGTTTGAGGAGGAAGGCATTTAATCGGTGCCGATGCACTTTTCGCAGCAGCTGCAGCAGTGGCAGCAGAAGCAGCAACTGAGCGAAACCAAGCAGTCAGCACATGGATGTACTCAAAAAGGGGCAATTCTCGTATGGGACTGCGGGGGCGATCACTCACGCATCCTCCGGTCCGTCACCACCACGCAAGCGCAATTCCATTCCTTCGCCAAGGGACTGAAGTGGTGTTTCTTAGTTCTCAAGTCTGCGGTGTTATATCATAGAATGAATTCCAAGCACGTACAGGCTGATCGGTGACGATCTCATCCATGGTGGGGGCGGCCGGGCTCTGAGGTTGGTTCATGGTGAGAGTGACGGGATCCCAAGTCACCTCCTGAACCTCCTCCTGGCCGGAGGGGCGGAACCAGCTCATCACAGCATCAAACATTATGTCTATAAATATTCGAGCGGTATTTCAACCTGCGATT